CACTTTCAGGATTTATTTTTTTTAATTTTTTAATTGATGATACTTCCTCTCAAAGTGAGCACACCTTGTTGTCATCACATCACAAATTAAACCGATAGCAAGAGAAGTGTCTCTCATTTGATCAGTACCATTGAGTTCTTCCTTCTCTGGTGTAGCATGTTGATTTTGTTCTCAGAGAGCAATCTCTCCTGAGTTCGTCATACAGACACAAGCACTCTTCTTTGTCACCCCGCCCTGCCTGCTTGCTCCATCTAAAAGTCAAAGGCCAAGTGCTTTCTCCCTTACATCAGGTTCAGACATCCTAGTATCCCTGTGGAATATTCTGTGCAGGCACTACAGTGCCGCTTCTGTACAACTATTGCTTCTTGACAGTCTATAGAAAAAGTACAAAAAGACTTTTTAACCAGCACACGAAAGGCAGGCATATCTTGTGGAGATGTTATGTTAGAGCGCTGCCATCTTCCTTTTCCTTTCTAAGCATATACATCCTTTTCTTCACAACTTTGTCAAAGCCTTTCTGAGACTCAGATAAACCCACATTGCCCAAGGGACTCTTTCTACCTCAACTTTAAAAAATCAGGTTTTGTCACTGTCGTTTTCTTTTTTTTTCCCTCTCGAAAAAACAATGTCGCCGGGCAGTGGTGGCGCACACCTTTAATCCCAGCACTTGGGAGGCAGAGGCGGATTTCTGAGTTCGAGGCCAGCCTGGTCTACTGAGTGAGTTCCAGGACAGCCCGTGCTACCCAGAGAAACCCTGTCACAAAAAACCAAAAAAAAAAAAAAAAAAAAAACAAAAAGACCTAGTCCTCAGTAGGTTTTTACAAAATCTTTTAAATCATCAGGTAGACTAGTTTATAAAGTTGAAGCAAAACAATGAAATAAGTACTTTTATAGACAAGCAGGGTTCTAGGTATCATGTAAACCTGGGGTGGGGCTGGGGGAGAAAATACAAATGAAAAAAGCTAGTGGTGTTTTCTTCTGGGTAGCATTCCCAGTAGAACTGTGTCTATGTATGCATTTCTGGGCACCTCATCTTTTTGGCAACACTGAGGAATAAGATGAAACTAAAATCAAATGTAACTTCAGCAAGTCTTGACACCACAGTGAGTCAATAGCTGTAAGTGACTGTGCAGTGACCCGGAGTGTGTGGGTGGGTGCAGGGAGGGGTGCTGGTCCAGGGTAAATGCCACCTGAGTGCCAACGTCTTCCCTCTCCTCGACTGTAGGCCACCACTACTAAGTCAGCTGTTTTGAGTAAGGGTGGCAGGCCCTGCACAGCGAACCTCTCACACTGTACTGATTGGAAAGGCTTCATCGTTCTCAGCCTCACCAACTGAGCCATTCTTCCTCTTGGTTGTTTGGGAGCCTGTGTTCATAAGCACGGTGTCCCTTCCCTCATTGAATTTCAGGCAGTTTGTTTCCTGGACTCCCCAGAGGTCTGGGAGAAGACACAGGGGCTACTCAGTTTTTGCCCTGTCCTATGTGACTTAATAATTGCTATGCATATTTCCCTCTTCCCTATGTTTCTGTGAAGGATCCAATACAGCCCAGTGTTTCAATGATCTTAGCATTAAAATCATAGGAACCCAGTCTTGAGTTAGCAACTTGAGAGAAGCACTGAGCAAGCAAGAATGCCACTAAGTTCTTCCAGGGCAGCATGACTTGAATCTGGCTCTGTCCCCTCTCCTGCTGTTATATATACCCAGTGGAGGGTTGTTGTTGTTGTTGTTGTTCTGTTTTGTTTATTTGTTTGTTTGGTTGACTGGTTTTGGGATTTCCAGACAGACTTTCTCTGTGTATCCCTGGCTATCCTGGAAATCACATTGGTCATACTGTCAGCCAAAGGGCTTCGAAAAGCAAGGATAGGAAGCACAACCTTGGGCAAGAACAGAGTCTGACGGAGAGACGGCTGTGAGTACTGGGTAACCTGGGACTCTAGACTTTACTATATCTAGGTAAATGTCTATAGTCACCACAAATTTCATTCAAAGAGGTGGCTATTAACAACTTAAGATCAAGTTTCCAGCCTTAGCACTCTCCTCACTCCTGTGAGCATGGGTGATGGGAGCTCCTGCTTACCTCAGCTTAGCATTTGTAAATCAGTGACACAGGGAGGGCAACCTCACTTTTCCCAATGCCCCTGAGTCAGACAAGTTTCTGAGTTCAGGCTCCCCTGATCTTAGGCAGATGTACATAGATAAACATCAATATACATACATGATTTGGATGTCTTTTCTCCCCAGGGTCTGGAGTAGATTTTTGAAAAAAGAAAAATAAATTGTAGTGCTGGTGCCCAAACTCAAGACCTGCCCATACTAGGCAAATGCTCTACCATTACATGACATCCTGAGGATGTAATTTTTAACTAATTTACTCATAGTCGTTCAAATATTCCATGGAGCATGTAGGCCTGGGACCTGAAGCTGACTGTGGTTCCAGGTTTCTTAGGTATTACCTTCTAGGAACCAGTTGATGGCCCCCTGTGGTGTTCTTCTCATTTTCGTATTACAGAGGAATACTTTGAGCCCCAAGAGACAATGGCACATTCTTTCCAAAGTCATAAGGCTAGTAGATGGCAGAGTAAAGGTTAAATCCAGGAGTCTTTGACATTTGGGACAAAATCATGACATTATGGCTATTTCAGAGAGCAGGGATCACAAATAATAAATATTTGGAGGGAAAACTGCAGGAGATTAGAGGCATTCCGCCAAAGTGTTGTTCTCATAGGCAGCTTCTAAAGGCAAATTTAGCTCTGGCCAGTGGAGGCAGGCCCACAGCAATCCTGACCCACAGTAGCTCGCCCAGAACTGAGGAGGCTGGGATTCTCAGCTCTGCCCTACCCCTGCCTCTTATCCTTTCTTATAATGCATAAGCAGGCTCAGTCTCACCAAGTAGCCAGCTTCCAGCGGCTATTTCCTTTGTGTCTTCACAAGAAACTTCTGACCAGAGCATGTACCAGCAAGGGACCTTACTGCCCTGCTATTCTTTAGCCTGCAAAGCCCTCTGTTGACCCCTAGGAAAGTACATGTAGGACTCTCGACATGTTTTTAAATTCCCACACACATTATCCCTCCTCTGGCCTTAGTTTCTCCGTCTATCACCCACAACCTTTCTGGAAGGAGTGTAGTCTCTATAATTTGCTTTCAAGCTCTTCACAAGATGATAAGCTTATTTAATCTATTCAATAAATTCCTGATCCAAAATACTTGCTTTTACTATTTCTACAACCCTGGCTAAAAAGAGGGTATTTCACTTTTTTGTGGCCAGATAAAGACTGGGAGGGTTGGTGACTCAGCCTAGATCTGTCCTGTCTCTTAGACACAAAGTACAGCCAGGTATGGTGGTGTGCAGCTTTAGTCCCAAAGCTCTGAAGGCAGAGGCAGGCAGATCTCTGAGTCTGAGAACAGCCAGAGCTACAGATAGAGGCTGTAACTGTGCCCACTACTGCCCATTAACCATGTAAAAACCTTCTCCAATCCACTGTGGTGATATTATGGGGTTTATGTCACTCACGTAGAGCCATGGAGTGCAAAAGTAAAAATACAAGAGAAGTGTCACAGCGGAAAACATACAGGACAGATGAACCCCAGCACTGTAGGAAAGGACAAAGGAGCACATCAAAACCAGTCCTGGTGTTGGGCATCCCTGGCCATCATGGACAATGTCCTCTTCAGGAAGAGGGAGCCTTCTGTACTGTGTACATGTGGTTTCTCCTGTACTTCTGGTACACAGTGACTTCCTAAGGAGTAGAGATTTCGTCTTCAGTGTCACACCATCCCTTTGCTTACTACAAATCAGAGCTACAGGGCTCCAGCATTAATACATAGGCACACCCCTCAAGAATGAGTTCTTTGATAAGACCCAGGGAGATATAGCTGAGACACCCAGCTTAGGGTGCTGCCAGGGTCGGGACACATGGCTCAGACTCACTATATTTTCTGTTTAATTGACTTTTCCAGCTTCCTTTAGTCTGAGGCAAGATGTCATGGAATGTGGGGTGGGGGTGGGAGGACCTTATCAAAACGGACATCCCCATCACAGGTAAACAAGTTCCAGTCAGTAAATCTTCGAGTTTTTCGGCTGTGCCCTTCCACAGTATCAGGTCTGGGTGACTGACCAGCCTGGAGGTTGATAGGCTCTTAGCAAAGAAGCAAGAGAAGTCTTTTTGCTGCTGGTCCTCTGTTTCCTGGGGTGTGGCACGGCCCTTGGGTCCTCTCCACAGAAGTTGCCTAGGACTTGTGTGGGGACCGATGAGTTCAAACCCTATCGAATGTACAGCTTTGGGACTGATCTGATTAGCAAGAAGCAGAGCTGCTTTGGTTTCCAGAGCTGACTTTTTGGGCACGGCCTGTTTTTCTGGACTGTGTTTCTCATTTCTTCCTTTACCATTAAATTCAATTAAACCAGTGTTGATTTACAAAGGGGCAAAGAACTGTGAGATGCTATGGGATTGTTAAATAAGAAAAGGAAAGCTGGTGGGATTAAACACAGAGACTCGAGGAAGGAAAATATTCTAAAGATAGTTCCAGGAGCACAGAAAACCTCCTCACAGAAAGCAGCTGTGGTCCATGTTAGAGCCCACCACAGAACACCTCAGACCTCTGAGAACGTGGAGGCCCCTCCCAGGGCAAGCTTGGTACAAAGTGGGACAGTCTCACTTTCCTGTCCCCGTCACCCTTCTCCATCCCCAAACTTTATCTGAGGTCAGAATGAGAGTGGCGAAGGCTGGTCCAGGGACACACCCCTGACAACTGTCAGTGCCAACTTTCCAGGCCCCAGGTGACTCTATGTGCAGCTGGAGTCCTTGAGTCACAGAATTCATCCCAGAGGTGACCCCACAGATGTTGGAGGAGGGTGCTTCAGGGACGTTAGATGAAGAGGACTAGGAAGCCTGGGATTGAGTGGGATACTGGGATTGGGAAGGCTGATACTGGGCTGGCCCGGAAGCGACCAGAAGATTCCTGGCTTTCTAGTAGTCCCTCCTGGGGCCCAGCCACCCACCTGGGCACGCCCTGTCGTAGTCGAAGCAGCAGTCCCCGGTGAGACGGCAGGCTTGGTCACAGAAGCATGTTCCATAAACTCTGTCCAGCCTCCAGCCGCGGGCGAAGCAGGCCGGGTCCCGGCCAGGACAGCAGCGGCCGACCTCTGCGCAACCAGCCAGGGCCCCGGGCCACAGCCGCGCCAGAGCGCACAGCACCATCCACAGGGTCCTCATGGCCAGAGGTGCGGCGACACCTGCGAGCGGACCCAGCCAGAGCCTCCAGCAAACGCTCGGCTCCTCCGACAGCCGCAGCCCCCGCCTTCGGTCCTCCGCCCTTCCGCACCGCCCCTCGGCTGCCCTGGCTGCGCGCCCGCCCGCCTGGCGGGCTCTGGGCGGGTGGCGCTGGGGCCCAGGTGGGACGCGCCTGTCCTTCCGGCCACCAGCCCGCCCCGACAGCCGCAAAGCAGGTGCTCGCACAGCCCGCCCCCGCGGCAGGCTCCAAACTCTGCCTCGTTAGGTCTGGGGACGCCTAGCCCTAGCCCGTGCCTGTTTGCACCGGGAAAGCCAACAGAAAAACGGAGTCCCAGTGCTCCCAGCGACCCCAGGGTGCCCCTGCTCGCTCTAGAAAAGCCCTCGGAGGCTTTTTCCAACTGCTTCCCTGACTCTCCTAGGCCCTGTCGAGCACATAGGAGCCAGAAATATCCTGCAGCATTTTATTGTGGCTTTTTCTCACCCAGAAAAATGCTACTTTGCTTTACTTAAAGGACAAATTAATGAATATGAAGGAAATGATAAAAGTTGAAACTGTGCCCTGTTTTTTGTTAAGCCCAAGAGCCTCCACCAATAATGTTTTTGTTTTGTTTTGTTTTTAAAATAACTTTCATTCTAAGGTGTTCACCTACCTTTGGAGGGTTTTATTTGCTTGCATGTCTTTTGTTTGTTTGTTGTCCTGTTCTTGCCATTCTGAGAATGGAAACTAGATCCTGACCAACGCGAGACCCTCCAACTAAAGGACACCTTGAGACAGGGACTTACTAACCTCTGGCTGACCTGTAGACCAGAATGGTCTCGAACTCACAGAAAGCCATTCGCATCTGCTGAAATGAAAGGCATAGGCCACTACGGCCAGCTTCACACCCAACTTTTTATATGTCTTTCTTTCTCTTCTCTAAATATATTAAGTTTTCTACACTTTTTACAACGAAATTTATTCTGGAAGTTTCAATATTTCTTTATGATTTTAAATCATTTAACTAGCATGGTTTGTAGAAAGAAACATTTTCTATAACTGAGAACCTAAGAAATCAAATTAAATTCAAAGTTAATTTCCTTCTTCATACAAGGTCTTCTCAAAGCGAAATTTCTCTCATTAGAGAGAAAGTAATGTAAGTAGAAATTGTAAACTTTACTACAAATGTGGTAAAGCAATTTAGCAACCAAATATAAAAGCTAAGCATGTTATACGATGGAAAAACCTACATTGTAAGGGTTGTATCTGATAAGCTTTAGTCTTAGATTGTTTTGACCAATGTAGAATGTTATGCTGTTTGATTGTCCAAAGAAAATATACTCTAAAAAGAAAAGAAAAGGAATTTTTCTTTGTGAGTTTGTACAAATAAGTTCTTAGCATTGGAGACCTTTTGTCTTCTTTTCTGGCAACTGTCTCTTCTTTTTACAGTTTAAAGAAATGATTGCGGTTTAGTTTTGATGGCTGGGACTAAATACTCTTGCCAATAGATTGCATACACCTTCATCTTTCCTCCTGTTAGAAGTTTTATTAGCCGTTTTGAAGCAACCCATTCATGCAATTTATCTCCATGCCTTCTCTAGTCTGTCTTCTCCGTGGATGTCTTTGGACAGACACTTCTGTAATGCCGTAAGAATCTTGAACAGTGCCAGAACGGTGTAACAGCAAACAATCCGCTGACTAGTTCATTTTCCAGACCAAAACATGAAATGAAATGGTAACAGAGAAGAGTAGGTGAGCTCTGTCTTAACAGAAGTGGAAGATGAGCTTGGGGAGATGGAGTGGTTAGAAGAGCTGGCTGTTCTTCCAGGGCACCCAAGTTTGGTTCTCAGTACTCGATAGGGGTCATTAACTGCCAGATTAGGAGATTAGAGTGATGATCTGGCCACAGAGGAAACACACAGACACACAAACACACACATGCACGTACACACATGCACACGCATGCACGGACGTGAGCACACACACATAAAATTAAATAGAGAAGCGAAAAGCATAATGTCAAATGCTTGCTTAAATATCATATCTTCACTTTCTTTTTCTTTATGCACTGACAAAAGCAAAAGTTGACAGGAAAAAGGTTAAAAATGGGCTGGAACTGCAGGGTTAGCACACTTGTTTGTCAGGGAGGAGTCTCTCCAGCCCCTCTATGCTGCTCCAACCTCACTAGCTTCAAGTTCACAATCTGGGAGTCTGGGTTTTGCATTTAGAAAGGACATGTACTCAGCTTAGGGACTGCCATCCTTGGCAATCACCTCAGCACCTTCATCCCACACAGAATGCTACTCTGATCTTCATGAGAAGTCCACAGGAAATCCAGTGACAGGTGAAACTGAGCACAAAATGTCTGCTGAATATCGTGTGGTAACTTAAGGTCCAATTCCTGCTGTACTTTTTGGCTATCAGCAAGTAAAGACAAATACAGCTTTATTGGTGTGCAACACACAGGAAAGCACAAAGTTTAAGATTTAAAAAGGGAAGAAGACCACGAAGAAATAACCATTACTTAAAGCAAACAAAGGGGTGCTTGTCTCTGGCAATGCTTAAAGAAGCTCACAGTATCAACTTCAAGCATCAAGAGAACCTTCCCCAGCAAACCGTAGCAAACCCAGGACAAAGTGAGGTGGCCATGCTTACATCCTTGCTGGAAAGTGGATTCAGTCAGCTCTAACAACATGTTTGCCATGCTGTGTGGATATTTGAAGGACAGAAATCACCGTGACAAACGTAATCAAGTAATCTGTAAAGACTTCTTGTCTGTTGTCTTTGGGAGTTATCCAAGATTGAGAAAATTACAAAGGGAAGCTGAGGCCTGCCTGTTTCATCAGATTCCAGGACACAGTAACTGTAGGCACCTCCACCTGTGCGGTCTCACATGCTCCTGTGTAACTGTGAAGCAAATACCTCCCCCACCTTACAGCTGACGTGGGGTGGGTAGCCAATTAGTAACTAATCAGACCTAGAACCGAAATTACCCTTCGCAGCATACTAAAGGCTCTTCCATAACTGCCAGCATGGGATGGAGTAGGGAAAATAGGATAATGGGGAAGAAAGAGGGTTAGCATTAGGAAGTGTTGGGCTGAGTACTGAAATTAAGTAGATAGAAATCAAAATACCAACAGTTTCCCAAGAGGCTGGAAGGCATTTAAAATGTAAGCTGAGAAGATGGGTTAGCAGATAAAGAATACACTCACTGTCAATTTCAGAGTTGCATGAAAACATGCACACATGTGCACCCATGTACAGATGTGTGTGCCCACATGCATGCATGTACATGGAAAAATTTTAAAAATAAAAGTTTTGCATTTTTAGTTACAAAATTTGAATTTTATTAAAACCAACTAGGGTGCTCTGAAAGGTAAAAGGAAATCTCTTGAGATTGGGTGACAAATATGGTAGTTGACACAGTTTGGAGTCATTTGTTAGAGGCACAACACCTCGTGGACTTCTGTAACTTATTTTCTTTTTTCAAATTATTATTATTTTTTTTTTTTTGGCTTTTTGAGACAGGGTTTCTCTGTGTAGCCCTGGCTGTCCTGGAACTCACTCTGTAGACCAGACTGGCCTCGAACTCAGAAATCCGCCTGCCTCTGCCTCCCAAGTGCTGGGATTAAAGGCGTGCACCACCACAGCCCGGCTTGTAACTTATTTTCTTGAATACCAGATGTCTTTGACTATGTTATCTGTGGGGTTTTGTATGTTTGTTTTTGTTCTTGTCCTAAGACAAAATAATGCACACAGATTATAGGAGGGATTTTAATTTCAGAGACGAATATACTTCATATAGGTATTGATGTCAGCTACATAGCTAGTGAAGACTTCCTGTCCTTCGAAGGTAGACACTTGCTGGGTTGCTTCCTTTACCTGTAAAGAGGTGTTTTGCATGTTTGCTTGCTTCCTTGCTTGCTTAATTGCTTGCCCTGTGTTCTAAGAGAGTGTTTCACTGTAGCCTAGGCAAGTCTGGAACTTACATAGCCCAGACTCGGCTTGCACACCTGTCAGCTCTCTTGCCTAACATTCCCAACTGCAGGGACAATAGACATGAGTCATGGAACCTGGTTTGGAAACTGTCTAATTTCATGGAATCTCCACATAAACACTTTTTCTTCATCAGAATTTTACCATATAGCCATGATCAGCCCCAAACTCATGTTGACTCTCAGGCCTTTGCCTACCTAATGCTGGCACTACATGGGGGCACCACCCATACCAGACAAAATCCTTGCCATTATTTCCCAAGCTACTGAAGTCTTTTCAAGGGCCCTTTGCTGTGTCTATATCTGGACACGTCTCCATTTCTCTCCAGCAGTTTAGAGGATGCACACCTCACAGAAAGGTCTTTGCTCCATTTTGAATTGAATTGCTTTTTGTTCAGATTCAGAGACCTGAATCTATTTTCATTCTTCTGCACATGGGTACCAACTTTCTTCAGTACCATGAAAGTACAAACGCTTCATGGATTCGCACGTCATCCTTTCATGGAGCCAAATCGATCTGCAGCATTTTGATGTTCGTGCATGCGTTGCTGAAGAAGGATCTAGGTGCAGTTCAATTGGCTGATGTTTTTTCTATTGCTGGGATTCAGATGTAGGGCCTTGCTCTCTATCACTGAACTACATCCCTGGCCCTTGCTTTTCTTATCTATATATTTATTTTATGTATGTTTGTGTCCAGTGGGGGGCATAAGTCTCATGGCACATGTGTGGAAGTGGCAAGACAAGCCTCATGGGGAGCTTCTCTGTGTCCACCATGAGAATCCAGAGGTGCACACTAAAGTTGCCAGACTTGAAGGCAAACGTCCTTACCCAATGGGCCGTCTAGCTGGTTCCTAGCCCTTGTAGGTTTCTGTGGGGAGGGGGTTGTTTGTTTGTTTCCTTTTTTTTTAATTGATAGAGTATATCATTATGCCACTTAGGTTAGCCTGGAACTTGTCATCTCCCTGCCTCTGACTCCTGAGTCCTGGAATTAGAGGCATGTGCTACCGCATCAGGTTTGTTTCTCTTTTTCT